CCACACAATCACGGAAGAGTCAGTAGTCACCAGAGAGAGACCATTTCTCTAACTGCAGCAACTCCACTCCTTCCATATCAGGTTGCACTAAATGCCCTTTATCATTTATCTGATACAGATGACATCTGTATCATCACTGCCTACATTCACCAGGCCTGTAGGCATCATCTGCACAAATCTAACTATTTTAAAGTTGGCCTTTTTTTCCTACTTAAGTTACCAGAGATGAACAATATTAGTCATCATGTCCCCAGAGTCACTATTATATATGACTAGTACATAGGCTGGTTGGATTATTGACAGATTCTTTAGGTAAGCTCTGCACTATTGTAGTTTGTATTCAGCACTCACACTGGAAATTCTGGTAGACAGCTCTCTAAAATCTTGTGATGGAATTTTTGGCTCTGAAACATTTCTTCACATAGATCTCAATACAGCAGACATTGCTGACCCTGGAATGCACTCCTAGCCCTTCATCTGATTATTTGAAATTCTTCTTTTCCTCAGTCCTGAGACCTGGAAAATACCTTAAAATTATCACCACCCAACTTAACAGTATAATAGTTGCTTTCTAAATCAGGATCAGCAAACAATGGCCCCTGAGTCAAATCTGGTCAGCTGCCTATTATTGTAAATAAAGTGTTATTGGAACACAACCATGTCCATTCATTTACATACTAACTCAGGCAGCTTTCATGCTACAACTCCAGAGCTGAGTAGTTGCAACAGACGTCTGAACTACAAAATCTGAAATATTCACTGGGTCTTTATAGAAAAAGTTTTCAAACCCCCATTATAAACCACAAGGAAAACAAATTGCTTATTCGGAATAATCTTCTTTCCACCCTGACAAAACAAAACCAAAAAACAACTGTGACCCAAGTGACTAGTTTTTGCATACAGCTTCGCATAAAATGGGCTTCCCTGTGGCTCAGATGGTAAAGAATCTTCCTGCAATGCGGGAGACCTGGGTTTGATCCCTGGGTCAGGAAAATGCCCTGGAGAAAGGATTGGCAACCCGCTCTAGTATTTTTGCCTGGAGAATCCCGTGGACAGGGGATCCTGGCAGGATAGGCAGTCCATAGGATCGCAAAGAGTGGGACACAACTGAGCAACTACACATTTTCTTCACTTTCACTTTGCATAAAATCTGGTTTGACTCTCTTACAAAGTGTCCTCTGAAATAAGATACATAAAAGATATAAAATACAAGAGAAATCTAAATAAAAATTCTAGAATTATAATACTAATATATAAAAGATACATAATATGTTGCTGTTGTTTTTCAGCCTATGAGTTGGATGCAACTCTTTGCAACCCTGTGAACTGCAGCATGCCAGGCTCCTCTGTTCTCTACTATCTCCTGGAATTTGCTCAGATTCATGTCCATTGAGTCAGTGATATTATCTAACCATCTCATCCTCCGCTGCCCCCTTAATATAAATATAATATAGTATCAATATACATTATATAGTAAAATATAATTATACACAATATATATATCCCTCCAGAATTTTTGTTATTTAAATTTAAAAGTATTTTACATCTCATGATATATGATATGAAGTCACTTCAGTCATGTCCAACTCTTTGCAACCCCATGGACTGTAGCCTGCCAGACTCCTCCATCCATGGGATTTTCCAGGCAAGAATACTGGGGTGGGCTACCATTTCCTTCTCCAGGGGATCTTTTAAACCCAGGGATCGAACCTGGGTCTCCCACATTGCAGGCAAACTCTTTACTGTCTGAGCCACCAAGGAATCTCATATGTAACTTATTTCAGAAGATACTTTGTAAGATATCATATATGTATAAATATGTTTTATTTAAATCAAAAGAAGTTGTGAATTTGCTGATTTGGGGATACAATAAAGTGAATTCAGTTCTAATCATGGAATAATTTGAAGTTCTTAGAAAAAACAAGGATAAAAGGAATGTGATATAACAGATAACTCATCAGCAATAATAATGTGAAATAAAAACATATCTTTAAACTTACAGTTGTGCCCAGAGTTTTAAATGGGAGACCTTTCAGAGGGTTGGATGGGGGAACATTTTTTCCTGGAACCACATCCTGAATCCCTAACACATGATGAATAATGACCTAGCTCCATCCAGAGAGCTACCAAAGGACCATTCCCAGCATGTAACAGGTCTAAGTCAGGATACCACCAGACGCACTCACGGGCTAAGTCAAGGATCTGCTGTCGTGATGGAGTTTGGTCCAGGCAACCTAATCCCGACTTCTTCAACTTTCACCACCTGGCAGCCCTTGGCAAGCTGCCCCAAAGCCTTCAAAGGGTATATGCTACATGCTCGCATTTGATTTCATCCACATAAAGTGGGTCTTCAGTGTTTTTAATTTACAACCAACATTTTAAAAATGGGGAGATCTGCCAAATATTTAAAAATGTTGGCCCCTCTTGAAAAACCAGAGGACCTGGGCACCCTGGGATCACGTTCTTGCAGGCAGCACCCGCTGAGCTGTGGGAGCTGCCTCATTCAGAGCACAGGTGCTCTCAGATGCTCTCTGGCTCTCCACACCCACCACCAGCCCTCTCTGTTACCCCCCTGTACCCAAAGCTGAGCATAAAGGCTGCTCCGTCTCCCTGGCACTGTTCATTTTCTCATCTCTGGCCTGTTTCACTCATTAAAGATACCTGCCCTGTGGGCATCTGAATTCAAACCCAGAGCTAACTCTTCATACAAATTAATACATTGGGTTGGCAAAAATGCTTGTTCAACTTTTTCCAAAACATCTTACAGAAAAACCCCAACAAATTTTTAGGTCAACTCAATATTTCCTCAAAATGGATGAGGAAAAATGACTTCTTTTTCTCATTCTCTGGCTCACATGTACACATTCCCCCACCCTCCTGACAAGGTGACCACCAACAGACCGGAAGCATATGCATACTTTGCCAATAACAAACCGTCAGACATTTAGAAAAGGCAAGCCCTGCCTCATGACCTGCCATTAGAGACATTAGATTCTGCAGGGTCTCCTCTGTCCTTATTTACACTAATACTACACCTCCATGCTAGACATCTTGTCCCTAGAAGCATCCCAAAGACAGTCTCTACAGAGAAAGCCTTGGTCATGAAGTAAAACACACGTTATATGGGCTTCCCAGCTGGGGCTAGCGGTAAAGAACCTGCCTGCCCATGCAGGAGACAAGGGAGACGTGGGTTCGATCTCTGGGTTAGGAAGATCCCCTGGAGAAGGAAATGGCAACCCACTCCAGCAATCTTGCCTGGAGAACCCCATGGACAGAGAAACCTGGCGGGCTCCTGTCCATGGGGTCACAAAGAGTCGGACACGACTGAAGCGAGTTAGCACTAGCACAAGACTCACTTTAGATAGAAAGTATTTGCCCTTCGGAGTCAAAGTACCCTCTTCCAGGGTACAAAGTAGAAGAAGGATTTCAGGTGCAATCAATTCCCTCCTAAGAAGATATTTAAATCCCTAGGTAACCTCTGAATTCAAGCATCTCAAATCTGAGTCACTGTAGGAAGTGGATGGGCTTCCCAGGAGCACTAATGGGAAAGAACCCGCCTGCCAATGCAGGAGACATAAAAGATGAAGGTTCTATCGCTGTGTTGGGGAGATCCCCTGGAGGAGGGCATGGCAACCCACTCCAGGATTCTTGCTTGGAGAATCCCATGGACAGAGGAGCCTGGCGGGCTACAGTCCATGGAGTCACAGAGAGTCGAACACAACTGAAGGGACTTAGAATGCACACAGGAAGTGCGTAGTGTATAATAAGTGTTCAAAACTTCCTTTCTACTCCAAGTATCTATAAACAGATGAACAGATAAAGAAAATGTAATATATACATGCAATGGAATGGTATTCAATCTTAAAAAAAGGAATGAATTCTGACATGTTACAACTTGGATGAACTTTGAAGATAGGCTAAGAGAAACAAGTCCGACACAAAAGGACAAATACTGTATGATTGTATTTAGATGAGGTGCCTCGAATAATCAAATTCATAGAGCCAGAAAGTAGAATGGTGATTGACAGGAGCTGGGGAGAGGGGGAAATGGACAGTGCTTATTGGGTATAGAGCTTCAGTTGAAAAAGATGAAAAAGTTCTGGAGATGGATGGCGGGGATGGTTGCACAACAATGTGAATGTAATTAATGCTACTGACCATACACTTCAAAAAGTTAAAATGGTAAATTTAATATCATGTATATTTCACCCACAGTAAAAAGAAGAAAACCCTAAGGAGGGTATATTGGCGGGGGGTGGGGGAAATCCTTTTTACTGCTAGAGAAATGTATAAAAACCATAATGTCTAAAGGAAGATGGAACATGCGAGCAGCAGCATCATAGTGTCCTGTTCCACCTCCACCTGGCCTGAGTATGGGATGGCAACGCTCAGGGGGCAAACCTGGCCTGTGAGGCTGGCCTGGTTCACTCTGACCTAGAGGATCCATCCAAGAAGTGTCCACCTCCACACTCAAGGGGATACTTATCTTGGGTTGGGGGGCAGGTTGACAGCTGCACCAACAGGCATCTTGGGGAGGCTACACCACTACCTTCCAGGAAGTGGAAGCATTAACCTCTCAGCTTTTCCAAAGCACACACTACATCGTGCATTATTATGCAAAACTATCTTAGCACAGGGTGTGACAGCAACACTGGATGGGTATCTTAAGCCAGTACACATAACTGAGCTCTCCACAGCTCCATTTTGGCCATGGAGAGGGTGGCGGTGGCTGCGGTGATGGTGGGTAGGTAACAGCAACTCTGGACTCAAAGCTCGGATGCTGGGACCAACCCTGGACATCGTTCACTTTCCAAGTCACCACCTGTCAGCCAAGCCAGTGGCAGCCTCTGTTCTGGACAGTTTTTCTAAACAAAACAATAGGGCTCAACAGATCTGGGCATGCGAACAGGCAGAATCCTTTCAGGAGCCCCTACTATAGGACAGTGTGAAAGTTGAACTCATGGAGGATGAGGATGGAAAAGCAACATTTACAGAGATGCTATAGAAGCATTGGAAACAGGCTTTTATTTTAACCGAAACTTACACAAACTTGATACAAACCCTACATTATGCAAAACTTGATCACAATTCTACGCATGTTATAACTTGTGGGAGCTGGTTGGAGAGTGGATTATTATTATAATTATCATTTTGATAAAAGACATTTTCTATCAGAAAATGTCACAGAAAGGACAACAAAATGATTTAAAAAAAGATACTCTTGGTGATCTCCCCCAGGGACTGGCCTTGAACAGACTGGCAAGAATTCTGTGCCCCTCCAATCTCCCTTTGCTAAAGTGAAAGAGAGCTTCTCGGGCTCAGAACCATCCCACTAACACTGTCACCCCCAGCGTTAGATGGTACATTGATTATTATAACTCTGCTTAGCAGTGAGGGAAACTCAAGAGCCTGAATGTATAAGACGGGGAGCAAAACCTAGTGGCCCAGTCACCCCAGCTCCTTCACTAGGCCGCAGACACAATGTTGAATGTGTTTCATAGGCCACATTCACTTCCACTAACAGGGCCATAAAAAGACAGTTCACCCGCCTTTCTCCCCATCAGCAGCTGAATGTGAGCTTTCCATCCGTCAGGCTGGCCTTCCTCGCCCGTGGGGACATCTAGAAGCCAGATCAGCAGAGGGCTCCCTTTGCAAGTCTCCTCTAGGAGTTGTTAGGGAACAGACTTAATATCATCCCAGCAAATGCTTATTTTTCGTTCTCTTTTTTTTTTCTCCTCTCTTTTTCTTTCTTCACTGGGTTATTTTAAACAAAGCTGTCTGTGTTTAAATCTGTTGAACTTGCAGAGATATATTTAATCGCTAGATGGAATTCCTTTCAGAACCAGGCCTCATCAGACACGATAACCAGGAGGCAGGCTGCTTCTTGACATCAGATAAATGGGGCTTGCCTGGGGTGAGGGGAGAGTTTGTTAGTTTGACTGTTTTAGGGGGGAGCGGAGAGACTGCTGATAGCCCTTGTGGCTAATTTATTTCAGTCAAGTCTTAACACATAATCAAACACTTTCAATAGACTTTTGCAGAAGGAGAAAAAAAAAACTGATCACTCCTCACTTACCACTTCCAACTTGCAGAAATAAAAATACCTAAAGAACATACATGAATGGCTTTTTTAAAAGCCTGAGAGAGCAGAGTTGATCTTTATTCTCTTATTAAAAATGTGGGGTATTTTTCCTTAGAGTTAATATGCAGTCTTTATTTTACAGTAAGTCCTCTATTGATTTTCATGTCTTCACAAAAATTGCTTTTAACTTTTGAAGTTGAAGGTACTTTAAACAAAAATACTGTGCCACATCAGCACCTTTTCTTTTAAATATTGAAATAAATAAAATAGTTAACTCTTTTTTTTTTTTTCCTGTAAGTCTGTTTGTGTTCAGTTATTTCTACGGTAGAGCCATTCCAGTCTGACCTGGATATTTTCTCACAGACACTTTAAAAAAAAAAATGTAATGGAGAATTAAAAAAAAAAAAAGTCTTCTTATTGCACAAAGTGAGGCCATTCCCGAGACTTCTCTGAGCCGAGCTGAGTTGCACTGGAGGCTTGTCCTCAATCCGGGCTCCTGTGTTGGCGGAAACACATGCGCAGGAGGGGGCCAGGCAAGGGAAGAGGAGAAGGAGGAGGAGGAAGAGGAAGAGGAGGTGCTGATTCTCGTGGCTTCTCTCCACCTTCTTCACATACGGCTTGCTTGAAGGATGCCGGAGTCTCCAGGTCAGAGCGTTGACTGCAGAGGGAAAGGCAATGAAAGATAAAACAAAAAACAAAAGCACAGGACAATTGCCTAAAAAAAGAAAGATTGCAATTTAAGGAAGTGGTGGAAATGAATTGGGGAAAAAAAAAAATGGAAACAACTGACAATTTGCCACGTGAATGAGGGCACAGCTATGTACAACGAGCACCAGACTAGTTGTCTCTCGTGCCTTCATTCAACACCAGGAGCTCAACATCAGCCAGGAATGGGAGAGATCAGCTGCTCCTGGGCAACAGAATGAGGCGAGAAACAGGGCGTGGCTGGATTTTTAATTCCTAGGTGGCGTAGCAGGCAAAACTGGGTATCAGCAATATCTGTACTTTTTTCTCCTCTACTTGGAAATGAAACAATCTTTTCCCTGTTGAAATACTCCAGAAGGACCATTATGATAGAATCTGTCACCTGTCACTTAAATGGAAATGAGCAGTATCTATGGTACAGGACCCATAGTAGTCACAGCAAAGCCCAATGGTTGCCCCATTTGGTCTAAGGCCAAAAGGCTTCACGCATACGCTCTCATACCCAATCCTGCCCCAGGGTGTCAGAATTACTCAGAGAGAGAATCAAGCCAAGATATCTGTTCCAGTCCTCAACTAGCCCAGTGATCCCCGGAGTCAGCCTTGGAACGAGGCGGCAGTTCAAACCAGGTGGGTCCCTTTAGCCTAGATGGGAACCAACCGGGCAAGGATTTTGCTTCTAGCTGAAATGAAGTCTGCCAGGTTATTTTGGTCTTTGGAATGGAGTAGTCGGCACAAAGGAGTAAGCAATAAAACCAAGGACTATCACATTTCACCCCAAGAAGCAGTTCCTGAGGGCAGAGATGGGTGTCCCCATGGTGTCCAGCTCACTCTGAGTGGTGAGAGGGGTGGGGAGGGTTCAACTGTAAAGTGGCCAAGCCAGCAGGGAACAAAGTTCAAAATCAAATGAGCTAAAAAAAAAAAAAAATCAAATGAGCTGCTCAGCCTCTTCCAAGTTGCACCTCCCCTTCCCATCCCCCATCGCTTCTGGTACCCAAGGCATCACTGGTCAGGTGTACAGGACTGGATTTGCTGCACTTCCAAAGCCAAGACTCTATCCATCCACTGATGCTTTCAAAGGAAAACTGAAAAGGGCCTCATTTCCACCAGCTGCCAAGTCTTCCCTACACCCCTGCTCCTGAATCTTTCCTCTGTATCCATCCCATCCCACTGTCCCCTTCTTGGCTCTGCTTCTCTGCTGTCCCTTCCCAGGCTCCCCTCCTCACCCTCCCCTGTGCTCATCCCTTCACTGTTTCGTCTCCTCCATCCCCTTCACTCCAGCAACAGAACCAGCTGGCCTTTCTCTAGAGCCCCCAGAGAGCGCTTGCCAAGTTGGGCATCCATCAGACTTTCACCCTCTGCCAGGAGTCTTCCAGTCCCTCCCCCAGTGGCCCAGATTCCCACCCACCCAGCCTTGTTTCATTGCTTGTTTGGTGAGTCTGTCGCATAACCATACCCCACATCCTTTCTGTTTCCTCAAATTTCTACCTTTGACCCCCCCCAACATACACACACACACACACACACACACACACACACACACACACACATTTTTCTTCTGCCCTAATTAAGCCACCTAGAAAGTAGTTGGTTGGTTCCCAACCTTATGCTCCTACATCCATTTTCACTTTCTAGGCCAAGTGCGGGCCACTGGGAATGTCCTGCTATATCTCAGTCTTCTGCTCTCAGCAGCCTTCAGGAGGCTTACTTTCCATCACTCCACAGATCTCCTACTTGCCCCTCACCCCATCTTCATGTCCTCGTTCTCTCTCCCTCACACACACACACACACACACATTTTTCTTCTGCCCTAATTAAGCCACCTAGAAAGTAGTTGGTTGGTTCCCAACCTTATGCTCCTACATCCATTTTCTCTTTCTGGGCCAAGTGCGGGCCACTGGGAATGTCCTGCTATATCTCAGTCTTCTGCTCTCAGCCGCCTTCAGGAGGCTTACTTTCCATCATTCCACAGATCTCCTACTTGCCCCTCACCCCATCTTCATGTCCTTGTTCTCTCTCCCTCCCCCACCGCCCCCACCATGTCACTGCCTTCTGTGATTTACCACCTTCACTTGGCCATTGGATACTGTGTCCAGCTATGGCTTCAACTTTTCTGCCAAGAAAATTTCTTGAGCATCCACTGTGCATAGAAGGAGATGCTAAATCCTTCCACTAATTAGCTCAGAAACGTGGCTCAGTTCTGTTTATCTCAACAAATAATTATGGCACAATGGTGTTGGGTACTGTCCGAAGGATATGCATGACATCATTTTGCCCTCAAGGAACACACCATCTGTTTGATGAGAAAGACTACCAAAAAAATCACAATATATTTTGATGAGCACTAATGCTAGGGACATGGACAAAATGCTGCAGAACAATACTTAAGCACTTTTTTAAAATACTGTGATTTTTGCCATTTTACGTTTCAGGCTGTGATTCCCAGTTCTGCTTTTTGTTCAGCACTATCTTCATTCTCTCTCACAATAGACACCCTTGCCTACAGATTAAATAGCAATAGTCAAGCTACAGCTCTTTGTTGATCTGGATGACTTCCTCCAAGAAAATCTCCCTGACTACTGAGATTCACAGCAAAAATACTCACATGCCATCCCATGACACTCTTAAATGTTTTTAACTACTTACTAATATCTAGTCTGCCCAGCTAGATTCCAAATAAATCCACTGACCCTGTGTTTAATTTCATCCTATCCTTCACAAGGCTGAGCTGCTCCTACTCAGTCCCTAGCCACTAAATGAATGAAAATATTATACTCTACAAACATACTAGCCTAAACCTCAGCTTAAAGGCAAAATGTCTGAGTCACTCATAATGGAGTAAATTAATCATGAATAGAGTCTGTAGATTGTAGTACTGCATCAATGTGAATTCCTTGGTTGTGATCATTGTACTTCAGTTAATTGAAGAATCTGGGTGAAGAGTATATGGAAAATCTTTGTATTATTTGTGCAAATTTGTAAGTATGAAGACTATTTCAAAACTTAAAATTTAAGTCTTAGTTATTGGCAAAGGGCCAGTGTTAAAACACTTTGAAAACCTAATTGCAAATGCTTTTTAGCCAGTAATTTAGTTCTGACAAGGATCTTCTGTCATTCTCAGCTGTTTTATAAATCAATCAAGCTGAACGATTTTCCCTATACAGTTTTTCCTATTTTGAGTAAATGGTCAGCAATCACTTTTATTAAGCACAACAGAATCATATAATTCAGTGTTTCAGTGTTAGAAGTACTTGGGTATGTGACCAAAATAGAGTCTGAGGTCTTCACTCCCTGCCCCCTCACCCCTCCACCCACCCCACTCCGATGTCACCACCAGCACACTGACCATCAGTCAACCTCAGTTCTTTGGGGAAGTTCATGAAAACTTAGACACTGCCACCTCTCAACAGGATTCTAAGGGGATAGTAGGCTGGGATTTAGGAGCTCGGTTCAGTTTGGGTTGGATTGGGTTGATTTGGTTTGGTTTTTATAGCATCAGATGCCTCCTTTCAATCCAGTAAGGTCTTGAGTGAAAGACCTCAAAGCCCTTCACTGATTGTACCCAAGACAGACCCAGACACCACCTACTGACCCTGGAACTTCAGACCAGTCATTTAACCTGATCAAACCTTAGCTTCCTCAGCGGCAAAAGGGGTATACAGAAAATCCATTTTCCCTCACAGGGCTGTCTGGAGAATCATGGTTAGGTAACATTGGTTACGTGTTGTGACAGGGTAAGGAATGTCCAGGGCTTTCCTGGCGGTTCAGATGGTAAAGAATCTGTCCACAACACGGGAGACTCGGATTTGATCCCTGGGTTGGGAAGACCCCCTGGAGAAGGGAATGGCCACCCACTCCAGTATTCCTGCCTGGATAATACTCCAGTATTCATTCCTGGCTAACTCCATGAATAGAGGAGCCTGGCAGGCTACAGTCCATGAGATTGCGAAGAGTCAGACATGACTGAGCAGCTAACACACACAAGGAATGTCCATATCCTAGGGATAGAGAAACCATGGCAGAGATTCATGGAAACAAGCTCACAAAGGGATTGAGTTCAGACTTTTCTACTCTAGCCTTCTACTCAAAAAATGCCTCACTCAGAAAATACATGGCACAAGTAACTTCACTTCCAGAAGTCAACAAAATCCCCCATAGAAAAATTCCTAACACATGAGTCTGCTCAAACTTTAAGTACAAGTTCAAGATTATATTCATCAGACGTAACAGGAGGCATATTGGGATAATATTTATTAATTTTATTCCACCATGAAGTGAGAACCTCCAAACAGCCTAAAGGCTGTTCTCTCCCTGAGTAACGATCTTGTGTTCCCTCAAGTGCTATATAAAGGCAATACCAGGCTGCAGCCCATTAGGTGCAAAGAGAGATGCAAGGTAAGCAGGAAGACTTAAAGGGATACTATTGATGTGAACATCATGTTTTTATTAAATCTTTCTCTATAAAATACCAGTAGCAAATCGCATTAGTGACTTTAAAGTACCTTTAAAAAAATTAAATGCAAATTTCTCACTCCCAGTGTTAATAGTGATTAGAGGGTCTGCTCTCTACATAGTCTCAGTAACAGATGTAAAGGTTTAGACTGTCCTAGGTAGGAAAAAACAACAGGTAGACAACGATAATCACCTTTATAGAAAGAGTTCCCCTCAGGGGTTTTGTATGTTGCAACAAAGTTAGAAGGTTCTACTATCTTTGATTCTCCTATCTTTGGGCTAGGATTCAGAAAATTAGGTGACATTTCTGAAGGATTTGGGGTGGTGCTTTACTGAGCTGAGAACAGAGAAAACTAATCAGACCATTTTCATCCTGATGACTCTAATTAATTTTATATTAATATTTGAGTATCGATACTTAACAAAAGCAACAACAAAACAATAGATGTGCTGACTCCTCACACAACTCTTGCAATTTCTGAGGTTGCAAGAAAGTAGATCTTTGTCCCTAATAGGCATCAGGAGGGAAGGTCTAGAAACAGTGGTTTAGAAGATGAGCTCTCTATAAAATTGTGCACAGAATTTTAATTGGAATAATCTTTGGGGATCTTACTGCTTACTCTTCAGTTTTGAGATTGCTTTTAATAAGACTAATTACCTTTTAAAGTTCTCAGGTGGACCTGAGAAAAAGGAAGAGAGATATATCTATATATACCTATATTCCATATATGGAACATGCAAGGGGCAACGCAGAACAATAATAAAAGTAAACAGTATATGTCCTGGAGTCAAGGTTGCCAAGGATCAAAATCTGGCTCCTTATTAGCTCTTGGACTTCAAGTACATTCCTTAGTTACTAACCCTCAGTTTCCTCATCCGTAAACTGTGGGTAATACAAGCACCTACCTTACAGATAGTCAAGAGGATTAAATGAACTGTTTCAGGGAAAACAGAACAAGGCCTGGCTTATAAATGGTTTGCCATTGCTATATAAAGAAAGGAGGAATACTGACTGTTGTTATAGTCAATAAACTATAACATTGACCATCAAGGCACTTGGAAACCCAGGACAACCAGCTTCCTTCTCCTAAGCTTCCTTTTAGAGTTTTCTTCATTCTCCTTAAGACATCTGCCTCCAAGCAATGTCCACTTCCTCTCTCAAATGTAACTCAGTCTCTCTGGGTTGATCTTTCCCAATGAAAAGTGAAGGACTTGAACTTGATCATCTTCAAAGTCCCTTCCAGTTCTTTTCCTGTTTTTTTGTTTTTTTTTTTTTAAGATTGTAAATTCTGATACTATAAGCAAGATGAGATAAGGTACTCAAGTAATGCTAAGATGCATGATTACGTTCACCTTTGCCATACCAGCTAAGAAAGATGAGGACGTCTAAACAAGAGACACTGAAGATCAAGTTATGCTAGCAAAACTAAAATAGGTGAGCAGTAGCCATCCTCAGATAAATCTCTCCATGGGAGTTTGTTTAAACAGTTCATTCATGGTTCCCCTTCAGAACCCCAAGCTAGACTCTGAAATTAGATGAACTTTCATAATTTGCCTTATGTGAGTTTTTTCTTTAATTTCAAGTTCAAAGTCAAGCTGTCACTGAGAATTTCAGGACTACAAGATTTCAAATGACCATATAGATTGGTTGGATATATTTTTATTAATGTAGAAGCTCATATTTTACCAGTGGGAGCAAGTTATAAGGCTATGAATCCCGAGTCAAAGTAACAGAACAGATGAAGTAAAGGGGTGAAGGATGACAGCAAGAGCAGGTTGTCAGCCCCTCTGCAGAAACCAACTGGAACCAGCTACGTTGGCTTTTTCCCACACATGAGCATGCAGGAATATTACAACGTTGGAGGTTTATGCCATATTTTCTAAGAACAGGGCCACATACAGATCAGGCAGACCATCTCCCAAGTGGGTGAGGTAGTTACTCTCATTCTCTCACAAATGAGCACAAACGCCCAGGAAAGCACTTACATATTTAAAGCAGGAGAAAAGTGGAAGCCCTTTCTGTCTCAGGCTACCAGAAAAGGAAGCATAAAGAGTCCATCTGTGGGTTTCTTTGCTTGGTCCTTGATTCTGTTGGGTTGGTGTGTTAGTTTAAGGAGAGGTCTAACTCATGAGGCTCTGCAAAAACTGGATAGTCAAAGCAGAGCCTTCCAGACACTTACAGCCTATTACCTGGGTGGCCTCCTAGGTCTCCCAACCCAAGCCAAGGGGCCATGCCTACGTCTTTGCACCTACACTCTCATGAAGGCCGGAGACCCTGACCACGCTTGGGGGGGATTCAGAATCTCCACATCAACTAGGTTAAATGTTGTACCTAATCAGAGATCTTCTTTTACCTGGTACCTAGGGCAAAGAATTCCACCCTAGACATGCCGCCCCCTCACTCCTACCCCGGGACAGCAGCCAACTCCGACCTCAGTTCCCTCGGTTCTGCTTCCAGGCATAGCCAAAGGAGGCAGTTAGCCAAGCACTCCGCCAACCATTTCTCTTGCAGTTGAAACCCCCCCATTCTCCACATGGAGCCCCCCAGAGTCCAAGAAGACTCAGCTCCCACACTTAGGCCCGGGCCCACATAAGTAAGCATGCAGACACAGACAGTAGATGATTGTGTAGAAAGATGCTCCAGGGGCCACTCCCACATGAGTAAGGGGGTCTGAACCCAGAAAAACAAAAGACAAGTTAGAAGAGGGGAAAGGAAAAAAGAAAGAAAAAGGAAAAAACATAAAGAAAACAAAACAACTAGGATGGTGTTCCCTCATTATAAGACAAGTCAGCCAGGACATACCTTTGGACAAGGACCATACAGCTGTTCATCCTTGGGACTGGCAACGAGGCGGATGGTCTTCATCACCCCAGGGGCCTTGAGCAAGTGTTGCTTTGGTTTATTTCAGGAGGTGCTACTGGAAACATAAAACAAAGTGCCTGGAGGGCACTATAAAAAATAGAAGAAACATGGGAGACTCATCATCCAACGGGTATTTGTGTGTTTTTAGACAGGGGCGAGGGGAGAGGGAGCTCTGCGGTGAGGTAACGTTCTTTCTTCCATGAGCGCATCCTCGGGTGGTTTTGTCGCTGCTGAGTCCCTGACTTTCCGCTCGGAGTCCATTCCTGAGTTTGGAAATCGCTCTTCGCCAGGAGGAAGGCGAGGAAAGAACCAGCAACAATAAAACAGCAGCTCTGCTGATGGAGGAAGAGGATCCCACAGACGCTGCTGGGGGGCCCAGGCACTGGACGGAGGCCACACATGGGCGGCCCGGCTTCCCAGGAGCTGCTGACACGTTCTTGCAAACGGGGAGGAAGATGGCAAGGTCGAGGAGGAGAAGTGGGGAGGGGTCTGCTGTGGGGAGCCGCCGACTCCATGGGGTGCAGATGGTGCCACCCTCTCCGATCGAGGACCTCCTCCCGATGGGGTCACCTTGGATCACTCCTCCCCCACGGAGGCTTTCTTCTACGTGGAATATTACTTTCATTTATTTGATTTCCCTTCTCTCTCCCTCACTGTCTCAAAAAAAAGGAGGTCTACTAATAATAGCTAGAATATATAAATAATCATTTTTTAAACATTATTGGTTCTTTGTTTCCAAACCCAAGGTTCCTCCTCTCTTCATTTTGCCAATAAATAGGGAAACTGAGGAAATCAACTCTGCTCATGTCAAAAAGATCCCCCCCCCCAAAAAAGAGCTAATCCACCTAACTTCCCATATCTATGGAAAATAAATAGTACATCACAATGCCGTCTCTCTGAAGGACTGTTAATTCTGCTCTTTCGTTCTGCTTCTTTTCAGTAGTTTGTGCTTCTGCTGTACGTACCCTAAATAGAGGGAAAGGAGGAGAGGAACGAGTGGAAGGTGAGAGGAAAAAGCCAGGATGAAGGGAAAATCTAAACTGTCTTTCACTTAAAAAAAAACAATCAGAACCAGAACAATGACCAAAGTCACAGGGTGATGGCTAATTGCCCAGAGAGTGCGTCCCGTGCGTTTAGCAACTGCCCTTTTGATCAGCTGTGGGCGAGCCCCGGCCACTGCGACGTCCTCGGCAGGAGCGAGGCTCTTCCAAATCGTCCTCGTCAAAGCCGTGGAAAGTCGAGGTGTCACTCTCTGACGTGGAACCGAATAAGTCCTCCGTGGAGCGTGCTGCGGCCGCTGCCTCCTTCTCCTTCCTGCCTTCTCCTCTTTCCAAATGAGCTGACATGCATGATGAATATATCAGCACGTGGGTTAAGCAACAGACAGCATCATTAATACTCTTAACACATTATTACAGTGTTATTCTTAATAGCAAGGTCATACATCACTCCACACCAAAGGGATTAACTGGGTGCGTCACCTGGTGACAGGGGTTTGGGGCAAGAGGACAAAGCCAACATTTCCAAGGAAAAGGGTTCTCCCCTCCCCAGAAAGGCATCTGGGGATACCTCTACCACAATATATTTGTCCGTAGCTCTGACAGCGCCAGATTCAACCACGATCTTTCTTTCTTTCTTCTCTTCGGAAGGCACACATTCACATGCACGCTCGCTCCACCCGCCCCAGACAAGGAGTTTTCTTGGTGGTTTTTAAGCCCTGGTTGGTATTTCTTTGGTGTTTTCAGTTGGTGTTTCTTTGCACAATGTTTGTCCTTCATTTTGACAGTCAGCTTTACAAAGGTATTACTGTCAGATAACCCGGTCAAGGTGGTTAAGCCTCCATCCATTTTATTTTTATTTTTACCCGTTTCTAATCCCATTCTTCCCAAACACTTTCAATTCTGCCCTTACATGTAGTTCATTTGCACTGAAAGCAAAAAAGAAGTTGGAAAATCTGATAAGTGGTAGGTATTCAAAGAGCCTCTCGTCTTGTTCACCCCTGGAGGACATGTCTGTGTCCTGCACCCACACACATGCGCATTCACCGACACGCATGTGTGCACACAGGCAGGCAGGCACGTGAATGCACGCTCCTGGTCTTAAACACGCCCAGGTCTAAGTTACTCCAGAAAGTCTGGGGTTGTTCAGTCTAACTCAGAGCACTCAGAAAGTGGGAACTAGGGGTGGCAAAGCTGAATAAAAGACAGTATCCTGAAATCTAGAAAACTTGAGTACAAACTCTTTCACATTCTAAATGGGCCCCAGGACTGCCCCCTGTTGAGGTCACAAGACTCCACTTACAATGTCAGTTTTAGGAATCTCATTTTTTCTCCCAGGAAAAGTAGGTAGTGGAGTAGATGGGAAGGAAAAGACAGCTAGCTTTCCCAAGCTCCACACTCTTCCTTGGAAGGACTCCAGGGAGGCCCTAGAGAAGTATTCACCCACCTGCCTCAACAAAGCATATCCCATGGGCTAATGCCACCTGTTTATTCCCCAGGTGTCAACTATTTCAGGAACATCAGAGTCAGACCTAGACTAAATTATCCACCAAAACTAATCCTTGGTGACTGCAAGGAGAACACCTAGGCTGGTATAAAACTGCCCCCTGGGTCCCACAGCAGACAGATCCTGGGAAGAATAAGCTGAGTTAAGGCTGTGGGAGAGACAGGCTTTGGATAGGAAAAACCAGCTCCCCACTTCTGGTCCCCCATGGATCACATTCAAGTACCCCACCTTTTGTAGGAAAGGAAGAGGGGACATTCTCAGCAGTTTTCACTGAGAATTCTGAAGCTGCCCTCTCTAACCCATCCTCAACCCACAGCAGTCCATACAATTCTGACTAGAATATCACACCACCAAGAAACTCTGCCTCTGGTGGTAGAGATTTTGTCTGATCGCTTGCTCTTAAAAAAATGCTGAACTGAATTTCATTTGCTTCATTTTCTTTCTGAGTTTGCTTCGTTTTCTTTTTGAGAGTCTATATCCCAGAGTCCACTACCACATGGGCCCCCTCGTCTCAGCTGGCACCAGTAGAATAAAAAGTTCAACATTAGGTATCACGTTTGGCAAGTAAAAGAACTGACAGAACTGCACAGATGGGCCACCCTGTCAGGGTCCTTAAGCATTAAATGTGGGGGGTTGTATGCAGTGGAAACCACAATGCTTTTCCAAATTACTGATTTGCTGTCTTAAACCTTAAACAATCCAAATATTAAAGGACTAAAAGCTAAAGTCTGCGGACAGAGCCAGTAAAGCCAGGTATGGTCATCTCGGGCCCTCTCTTGGGACTAGGAGTTGAACAGATGCTGGGAAGAAAGGAGCTGGGAAGGAGCCATGACTCCCGGCTGCTGGACCCAACCACCCAGCAGAACTGAATTTCATCTACTAGTCAGCAGATGATGAGACTAAAGATGAGTCTGAAACTTTCCTCCCTGCCTTTCACTTGAGCCTCATTACAACCCAAAACAATATGAAAAGCCAACCATGATCCAGCACGAAAAAAGCAAAACAAAAGCCTGAAGACAGAACTCATTTTAAGAACAAAAGAACAAAACCAGGTTTAGTCTTTGAATAGATTAAAGATGAAAATTCAAAACATCCCAAGCCTACTCCAGAAGAGTCCTAAGAACACCTGCCCTTTTGCCTCCTTGATCTACCAGGCTCTCTCTGGTTTTCCACATGAGAAAATGGGATGAGTGGCCAATGGAGGTGGTATTTATGCTGCTACCCAGAAGCCTAGGGGTCTCTGACTCCCCCACAACTCCAGGTATGGCAGCTCTCTCAACATTCATGTCTCCACATTCTTCCGGTTTGCCCCAGGCACTTCCACAGAACAAACACGTCTTTTTGTGACGTGCACATCACCCGATATGAGGAAGCACACTGCCTCTGTCTCCAGCTGTTTCCACACTGTCTCACCGTCGTCCATAACAACACACACCAAGAAATATCCACCTCATGGCAAGGCTGGACAAACACAAGCCCACACCTTCTTCTTTCCCTTTTCCCTGGATCCCAGAACGTAGATTTTAGTTCTTAAGACTCAAGAAGGAAAAAACAGTCAAAATAACCTGAAAATCCCCCTTGCACTCGAAAAATCACCACCATCACTTCTGGACCCACCCTTCAGTCCCTGCCCCAGACAAGATGGCAGAGGAATGAGAGTGGAAGAGTTCCTGGTCTACGAGCACACGATGAGAGAAGGGGACACACTCACCAGAGCGTCCACAGTCTGCACAGGATACCAGCTCCTCCGGCCTCCCACTCTTCTTGTTCATGTTGGAACCCCCCAAGCAGAAGTCACAGTAGTTATTGGGAATGACTGTCCCATCTGGTCCTTTCTGGGCTGTGGAAACATTTTTTTAAAAATCCAGTGTTAGGCTGAAGTGAGTCTCCACTGGCCCCTCTTCTCTTACTGGTGTGGCTGAATCTGCTCCAGAAAGAATATGAAGTTTAGAATCTGAGGTTTGGTCACAACCAGGTTGTTTTCTTGGGCAAAGTTTTATGATTCTCCTCAGTTCAATGGTACTAATGTCTTGCAAGCCATTCAGAGCCGAGTTTGGTTTTTGCAATATTTGTCAGTTCTGTGTTTGTAGAGAAACAACCCTGCTCCTCTGATTGCATCCCTGGATCACTGAAGCATCCAGAGAGCCTATGAGTCAAGTGAACTTCTCTCATCCTGAACAACTAGCCCTCAGGGTCCAAACATCAGATGACAACCATCAGTGGTGCTGTGACTATAGGGAAAGAGAAAGGTCACTACCTAGGCCTTGCCCTAGCTAGGGAAAGAGGCTCCTGTTTAGGAAATATTCCTTCTGTCTCTGAAAAGGAAAACAAAGAAGCAAGGATGAGGGAATCATTCCAGGAAGGGCCCTGAAGATGCTCTTGGGGACTCTGATACACATGGTGGCAGGTACATAGGTGTCCAATCTTGTTCAGTCCCATCCATCTCCCTAAAGTCCAGACTCATTGGTTATGGAAAGCACCCAGGACTAGTTAATCAGCAGATCCCTATATCAGAACTGGGCACTTAGCTCAGTATCATACTGGACATCAACCCTGAATAGTCATTGGAAGGACTGCTGCTAAAGTTGAAGCTCCAATACTTTGGCCACCTAATGCAAAGACTCAACACAGTGGAAAAGACTCTGATGGTGGGAAAGACAGAAGGCAAAAAGAGGGTAGCAGAGGATGAGATGGGTGGACAGTGTCACCAACACAATGGACATGAACTGGAGCAAACTCTGGGAGATAGTGGAGGACAGGGAAACCTGGTGTGCTGCAGTCCACAGGGTCGCTAAGAGTCAGACATGACTTAGCAACTGAAAAACAACATACCAGACATGGATTGAATGGTGAGTTAATGAGCATATCTTGAGGCGTAAGGTTTTCACAAGGCACCCTTGCTGAAAGGGCTTACACAAAAGCAAAGGAATATCTTGGGACATGATTTTTCAAAACAAAGCCTTGTGAAAACAGCACATGTCCTCAAGCACTGAAATCTCAGTTTCTAAGGGCTGGTTAAAAAGCTTTGGACAGGTTCTTTGTATGAGGAGAAATGCTTTCATTTTCCTTGTTTTTCGATCCCTATTGTGGACACTTCTTTGTCATATTAACACTCCCTGTCTGTGACAAAGAAGAAAAGTCTCTCTGTTTATGGGATCAGCCTAAACCACAAGGGTACCTTCCTCCTCCCCAATTCCAACGTCTGCCGCTATCTTTCATTATTCACTGACTAACATTAATCAGGGTCCCGTAGGGTACAAATCTGTAAAAGGAAGCAGATATGTGAGCAGAAATACCATCCAGACAGTAAGTGATAAACGGATTCACCCACTTTAATATGATTCCCCCTGGCCTCTGCTTCCTCCATGCCTCTTCTTTGCCTCCAGGAATAGAAAAACTTACCTGGGGAAGGCGGAAGACAAAAGCTCATAGAATTACATTATAGAGGGTTAATCCATTTATCAGTTGCTATTTGGATTGTTTAATCAGTTTCTAAGTCATTGATTTTCATCTTCAGGGAGGCAGACAATTCTCTGCAAGAAAAGTGGGAGCTGATTGGGGTAAACAGAGAAGGGGACCCCACCCTGTGGCCTCCGGGAATGTGGGTTTTTCTTCATCAGTCACTGCATCTCAAAGACAGATGTGCATCATACAGAATGGTTTTGCAAATAATCTCCAAAAAGCAGGACATCCGCAAAAAGTTTACTCTGTCTGTAAAATTCATTGCCCAAATCCAGAAGGAAGTCCCTTTCTTCTTCACTCAATTGCCATCTTAACCAATTTTAGAACTCTCTCAAGGAAATCCAAGTATGTTTATGAAACAAATAAACTCAGGGTTTCTTCATTAGGCAACTATCATGGAAATCAATCAAAAGATGAACAGAAAGAAGTGGGTTATTTCAAATGGAGGGGTTGAGTGTCAACCAAAGCTGTTTCATGACTGGTATGAACTAGATATAAAACGTGGAAATGCCAATCACAACTTAGGTAGCTTCCCATGTATATCATCACACCGAACCTCTCAGGAGACCCAGTCTCATCACCTTTTTCTTTCCTGCTCTCTTAGGGACTCTCTTTTATATCAGACTTATCCCCTTTCACAAAATCTGTAAGCAACCAAAGGATCTAGTTTTTCTCCAACATACAGTATCCCTTATGATTTATCAAAATGAAGACATAGAATATAGAGTATAAGAATGCCCAGAAAGGGACTTCCCTGGTGGTCCAGTGATAAAGAATCTGCCTTCCAATGCAGCAGATGTGGGTTCGATCCCTGGTTGGGAAACTAAGATCCCACATGCCACAGGGCAACTAAGCCCATACATCTCAACTAGACAGCCAGAGTACCACAAACTACAGAACCCACATGCTCCAGAGCCCATGGACCACAATTAGAGAGAAGCCCCTGAGCACAACAACTAAGACCTATGCAGCAAAAAACAAAAAAGAAAGCCCAGATAATTCTTTACAGTTTTTACCACCAACAGACCAATGGTAGAACACCGTATTAAACAAGGGACTTGAACCTGGCAAGAAATAAAAAATTCAGAAACAGTCTAGTAGAGCATAGCAGACAGTGGTGGAGAAATCAAACCTATGGGGAAAGACCAAAGAAGAGAACTGAATTCATCTGACGAAGCAAAGCTTCTGAAGAAACTGAAGCAGAGCAGGGTCTCCATGTATATTTATTTGTATTAGTAGCTGGTTATACAAAGCTCCCAGCCAAAGGGATGAAGAAGGTGATAAACTTCTAACTGCAGGCCCTGGTGTGTACAGCTGTGACAGGCCAGGTGGGCGGGCATGATTTTAGCAAAGCGAGGGCCCAGTGTAGAAAGTGATAGTAAGCAGTTAGACTTAGTGAAATCCTTTCTGCTTCAATTTCTACTCTCCTCTCATGACGTGAGCTGAAGCTTCCGTCCATCTTGGTAAAATGGCATGGGATGGACTAACCAACAGCTTTCTCATCTGGTTCTCTTCTTACCCTTTGGGGGTCTTTAGGATTAGTTTTAGGACAAGGGTTCTCCCACGGAGCTCTCCCAATTCTCTAGCCAGAAATGACTAGTCAGGCCTTGGGGAGAGCATGCTATTGACGTCACTTCTGGGACCTTCCCCCTGTCCATATATGTGTACACTTGCCTCATCCCCCCATAGTCAATGATTTACTCCAGATAGGGGAGTATACACATCCAACTCATTGTTAGAAAACCAATGTGTCCTGCACATAGGCAATGGTTAACAATGATGTGTGAGATGAACAGCTTAGGAAAGGAGGGCAGAGAGGTAAGTAAACAGCCCAGGGATGCCTTGGGAGTTCCTCCTACAGGGACAGAGGCACAGTAACCAGTCACTCTGAATAGCCCTCTCTGTCTGGGTTATTTCCCTAATCCCCAGAGAGAAGAGCTGGTCCATGTCCAAATGGATCGATTGGTCATCTGGTCTGGGTCATGTCTACCTAGCTCTCAGAGTACACAAGAGTAGGTAGCCAAGGGCCCTGGGTTGCTGGAAGAATAACACTAGACTATACCCCTGATTCTATTCTTTGCAGCCAAAGATGGAGAAGCTCTATACAGTTAGCAAAAATAAGACCGGGAGCTGACTGCGGCTCAGATTATGAACTACTTATTGCCAAATTCAGACTTAAACTGAAGAAAGTAGGGAAAACCACTAGACCATTCAGGTATGACCTAAATCAAATCCCTTATGATTATACAGTGGAAGTGAGAAATATATTTAAGGGACTAGATCTGATAGACAGAGTGCCTGATGAACTATGGAAAGAGGTTCGTGACATTATACAGGAGACAGGGATCAAGACCATCCCCATGGAAAACAAATGCAAAAAAGCAAAATGGCTGTCTGAGGAGGCCTTACAAATAACTGTGAAAAGAAGAGAAGCAAAAAGCAAAGGAGAAAAGGAAAGATATACCCATCTGAGTGCAGAGTTCCAAAGAATAGCAAGGAGAGATAAGAAAGCCTTCCTCA